CATAGTGAAGATGTGTCACAAACTGAGAAGCAGGATTGACTCAACTCTGTACATGAGGTCACAAAATGAAGTGGGGTGGAGAGATGGAGGAGGATGAGTACCCCTAGAGGTAGCTGAACCTGGGTTCAAATCCCAGTCCTACCACTTGCAGGGATTTGGGCAAAGCACTTGTTCACATCTTTCACAAATATTTGCTGGGGATCTATTTGGTGTCAAACACTGTGCTGGGCACTGTGGACACAGTGGTGAATAAGACAGTGGGAAATATCTTTAAGTAGGTGCTGTGTGATGTGAAACTGACTTCAGATTGCTTAGTCAGGAATGGCTTCTCTGAGAGGTGACCCCGCTGATGAAAAAATCCCCGTGTGAAAGAGCAGGATCCAGTGCTTTCCAGGCATAGAAAACAGCACGTGCAAAGACCCTGAGATGGGAACGAGCTTGGCCTGTGGCTGAGTGAGCTGAAAGACGGACAGAGAGGGACTTGATGAGATTGGGAGAGGGAGGCAGGGACCAGGGCATTCAGAAATTTGTGGACCTTTATTAAGAGTTCAGATATTCTAACCACAATGGGAAACCAATAGGTGGTTTTATGCAGAGTAGTGACTTGGCAGCATACTTCAAAAAAATTTTTTTTAATTTAAGACTAACACTCAGGGAAAAGGGTCAGATATGTTTTAAAAGACCACTTAGGCTGCTGCGTGGAGACTGCATTTGGGGAGAGTACAAACCACATAAGCTCTCTGAGCCTGTTTCCACACCCGCAAGGTGGTAGGAGTACCCCTCCCGCGCAGGGCTGTGTTGAGGAAGGGTGGGGAACAGTTGCCAGGAGTCACCAAGGCACTCGAAGAGCGGGCTGGGATGCAGAACGCTCCATCTCCGGCCGGGGAGCCTGCGCCTGGCAGCCCCTCCAAGCCCCTTGCACAGACGCAGGCGTAGCTTCCGAGAGCAGCCCCCGCTGTCTCTCGCCGGGGCGGCCGCTGGGCGGCGCTGCGAGCCCAGTTCTGTCCAGAGGAGAGGCGGCCCAGTCCACTCGTCTGCTCGGCGCTCGGCAGCTCTGCCCTGCTGAGGGCGGGCGGGGGCGAGGCCGTCACGTGGGGGCGGGGCCTTGGCCAGGGCGCCGGACCGTCGATCAACCTAGACGACAGGGCGGGGCCTGCGCGCAAGGGGCGGGGCCGCGGCGACGCGGGGCTGGCGGGCTCAGATGGCGACAGCGCAGGGCGCCTGAGCGGGCCGGGGCCATGAGCGCCTCCCGGCCCCAATTCAGCATCGATGATGCCTTCGAGCTGTCCCTGGAGGACGCGGGCCCTGGGCCTGAGTCCAGCGGAGTCGCCCGCTTTGGGCCGCTGCATTTCGAGCGCCGGGCCCCGTTCGAGGTGGCCGACGAGGACAAGCAGTCCCGGCTGCGCTACCAGGTGAACGGCCCGGCCCACCTCATCCCACCTGGCTGGGGCGGACCCTAGAGAACCCCAACTCGGAAGAATCTGACTAGAGGCCTCAGCCGGAGCGGAAGACCGCCCCGGACGTGGCCACTGATCTATGTCCCTTCCAAGACCCTCTCAGCTCTGATTTTGGTCCCCAGTCACCACTAGAGAGCCCAGAGTCCAGACCTGGGAGCTCGGCCCCCACCCTTAGCTGGATATCCCAACCTGGAGTCCACCGATTCTGGGTACTGACCCTCCCTCCCCTTACCCCAGAGGGTAGGGGAGCTCTTCTGTACCTGAACCAGACTTAGTCCATACTCAGAAGCAGCCCTCTGAGTCCCAGGCCAGATGATCTAACAGGAACCAGTGCCCCGTCTTTTGTGCTGGAAGTCCCCACCCCATCCTTCCCCTTTAAGCTGGAGGCCCCCACTCACATGATGAGTCCTTGCCTATGATTCAACTCCCACTAAACTGGAAGTCCCCCTTTTCCCAGAGGACAGCCACCAACTCTAGGATCCTTTTCTTGGAAAATTAGTCCAGATTCCTTTGCCTCAAACCTGGAAATCACTGACCTGCCCTTCCTTGGCACCCCAAATCCAGAGCCTCTATCCTGGGCCCCTGAAATACCATCCCGACAACTGCACCCTGACTCCCAAGCTTGGGAGATCTCCTGGCTCTGGGACCCCCGCTGGGAGCCCTCAACCAGCCCCTGCCGGCTCCTCCCTGCGAAAGCCCCCAGCACCCACCTCCTATCTGGGTTTCAGTTTCTGTGAATCATCAAACCTGTTCTGCAGGGAGGGCGGAGGGCCAGGTGAGCAGCTGTCAGGCAGCCAGGCAGCCAGCTGTGTGGGCTCACCTTCCTCCTCTCCATGAGAGGGGAGGAAGGACCTGAACTCAGTAACCCCTAAGCCCTGTGTTCTGGAATAGAACCTGGAAAACGATGAAGATGGAGCCCAGGCATCTCCGGAGCCGGATGGGGGAGTCAGCACCAGGTCAGGGCCAGGTGGGGACCCACGCCATACTCCTAGCCCCATGCCTCTGCTCCTGTCTCCAGGCCCCTGCTCACTCCTCCACCTCACCTCACTCAGTTCTCTCCCATCCTGTCCTACAAGGGACCTCTACATGGGGTCCTCTGTCCTGCACCCTACCCTAGTGCCAGCCTCACCCACTCACCCCCACCAGGCTCTTTATCCTGCAGAAACTCCCAGCCCTTGAATTCCTCTTCATCCCTGTCCCTTCTCAGTGTCCCCTATCCTGCAGGAACACCCAGCCCAAGTCCCTGCACCATCCCCCACGACATCCTCATTCCCGAAGGGTCCCCTTCCTCACCTCCTCTTCCCCCCTCACTGGGCCCACTTGTCCTGCAGGGATTCTGGCCAAACATCCATCCGCAACTCCCAGTGGTCCTTTAGCACCATCAGCAGCAGCACTCAGCGCTCCTACAATGCCTGCTGCAGGTGAGACCCTGTCCTGCTCATACCACCTGTGGCCACTGCCCCAGCACAGGCAGCCCTGGCGAGTCCCCCTCGGCTATCCGGGTTGGGGAAAGTGACAGGAGGGGCTGGGCCCACTACCACCTCTTTCACACCCATCCTGCTCTCCTGCCATCCAGCTGGACTCAACACCCTTTGATCCAGAAGAACCGCCGGGTAGTGCTAGCCTCCTTCCTGCTCCTACTGCTGGGGCTGGGTGAGTCCCCCTGAGGGTCCCCTGCATATCCCGCCTACCCCCATGGGGGGATCCACCCTTCTCTTGTTCAGGCTCTGCGTGCCCCTTGGCACACTCAGCCTCCTAGCATCCTGAGGAGACAGCTGGCTGCCATGACCTCACCCCATTTTACAGGTGAGGAAACTGAGGCCTTGAGAGGAGCAGGTCCAGCCTCCAGAGTGCACAGCCAAGAAGTCAGACATAGTTGAAAATGGAACCTGGTTCAGTGCTCCAAACGTTTCCTTTCCTTTTTGGTTTTAGTTTTTGGGTTTTTGTTTGTTTTTTAGCCTGTTTATCAGAGAACAGAGAGTAACAGCTACCATTTATTCTACTTCGAGCCAGGTGCCAGGCAGGCTTATTTTCCTTCCTTACAGAAGTCATGCAGCATGTGAGAGGTTGGGCCACAGCCCAGAACTTATATAGGGGCGGGTGCTCAGAGATATGCCTGGCCCCACAGCCGGGGCTGCACAGCGCCCTGCCAGCCAGATCCACAGGGCCCCTGTCACTCCCACTTCTGTGGAGTCTGAGAGCTGACCAGGACATAACTCCCACCCCCAACACTCAGATGGGGAAACTGAGGCCCAGAGCAGGCAGAACCACAGCCAGATGTTTTCTGACTCCCATGCTCCTCTTTCTATAGGGCTGAGGAGTCAGGGTCCCCAGAAAGGATCTTGGCTTGGGATCAAGAGGAGCCCATGAGGAGGGCCAACTGTGGCAGCTGCCCTCCCTCCTCCAGGAAGGTCAAAGTTCCTTGGCCAGAAAGCTGGGCAGCATCCTCACCTCAGCTCTGGGTGTCTGTGTGCAGGGGAGGGAACCACTGCTTCCCCAACACCTACTGCGTGCTGGCCACGGGTCACACTGGCCACATGCCTTATCACAACACCCGACAGGGCAAGCATCACTACCCTCCCTCCCAGTTCAAAAGTAAGGACACAGACTCAGGCAGGTGAAGGGTCACAGCTGAGAAGTAGATGAGCTGGGAGTTAAACCCACATCAGTGACATTGCCAGGCCTGTGGGCCACCACAGACCCATAAAGAGCCTTTGTAAGAATTAGAAATAGATGCCTCCTCCACATGGACAGAGCCCAAAGCCCTAAGCCAGGGTACAGGGAGTGAGTTTCAGCCCCATCCCACCCTTTTTGAGGTGATCTGTGCTGTACCACACCCCCTTGCTCCAGAGCCCAGCTCCCCTCTTCCCCCCATCCCATCCTCTAACTGGGGACCCAGGACTCTCTCTGGGTCTGAAAAATTGATCCAGCCATGACCTCCCCGACTTCCCCAGTGCCCACTGTCCTCAGCCAAATTCTGCATCCCTCCCTGGGGCTTACAAGCCCTGCCAAACTCCTCAAGCCTGGACTCTTGCCTTTCCAGTCTCGCCAAAAGCTGGAAATTCCTAGAAAGCCCCAAGTTCCCTCCAGACGCTGGGCCTTTGCCAGGCTATTCCCTTTATCCAGAATACTCCTCCTCTCCCTCTCTGCCTGTGAGATGCCCATAGCAAAGCCTCTAGAGTCAGATCACCTCCACCTTCCAAATGCAGCCCTGGGCAAGTTACTTCCTCTCTATGCCTCAGTTTCCTCTTCTGTGAAATGGGGATGATAATACCTGTTTGATTTAGTCAAGGTGACAA